CAGGTCTGAGCAAAATGTCCCTTCCCATGGCAGTCTTCAGTGTACCAAAAACAAAACAAAACAAACAAACAAAAAACCAGCCCAATACTTGGGGGTGAGCTTCCTGAGATCAACAGGGTGAATTCAACACGTTGTTCTCTGGCCCTGTAATGCCACCTTTTGACAGGCTAGTCCCCTAGGAAGACACCCAGGGAGGCCTGGGCTGTGTTAGGATGAAGTCTTAAATCTATGTCTGCTGCCTCAGACTGGAATGGTCAACTGGGACTTCAAGTCCAAGCCAGTGGAGGGTAGAGAAGGCTTCGGTGTGGGAGGAAGAGCCACCTACTGGTGAGAAGGAAAGCCTGCCTTGCATAGGGCTAGGGCTCTGGTTTTAGGGAGACTATTCCCCTTAGCTTATCGCTGTTCCCATTTCTTTGAGTCTCTTGCAAATATCAGACAGTTGAAAGCAGTGTGTCCAAGCCAAACAAGATGGCTTCCCTCTCAAGCTGCCAGGGTACTGTGTGTACCTAACAAAGCCCTAGGCCAGCTCTCCACACCTGGCAGCCCAGAGACTAAAGGGGACAGCTGAGGCTCAGGTGACCACCATCCCAACATTCCTGTGTCTTAGGGAGCCCAGAGTAGAAATGCCTTCCATCTGTGTGACAATGGGTTAAATTTCCATCAACTTGTGAATCCATGCCCAATCCATTCCGAAAGCTTACATTGTATGGCAGACAATAGGCAATCAGAAGAGTAAATTTTTAAATATTAATTGACATACAGCCAGACATGTTGTAGATGGTAGAGAATCTGCAGGCTATATGCCCACACCCCAGGGACTCTCTCTCTGTCTGGGTTTCCCCAGTGCTGGGGCCCCAGGTAAGCCACCACCACACCCAGCTCAGTTTTCAGACCTCATGTCTGCTCAGGACTGGGCTATTGTTTGGTTTTTGTTTTCTTGGTACTGCCTCAAAAGCCCTTCTGGGGAAAGGGGCTGGACGCATGTTGAACCTCTAAGTGCTTAATCCCTGAATGGGAAAATCAAATAAGCAACTGAAGACCTCAACGTCATTTGAAAACATTTTCTGTTCTCAAAGCGGGGCGCCTTCTCAGGAAGGCCTAACTCACTTCCAGGTATTGGGATTATCACAAGATTACACTGAAGCCTGTAGGCATGGGAAGATTGGAAGCGCCTTGGTAGGTATTGGTACGTCGAAAATCAAATCTTCAGAAAGACATCTAACCTAGACTCACAAACAGCAGCCACTTGGACAGACACTCAGTCGGGGGACAGAGCCCGCTGATCTGATGGACTGTGGGCCACCCTAGGCCAGTCTTCCTGCCACTGTCCTTGTCCCATCCCGAGAGTCTTATGGGAAGCTACTACAGGAAGGGTTGAGTAAGAGGCAAGAGCTGGCAGTACCCTCAAAGGAAAAAATGGCTTCTTTCCAAGAGGGTGGTTAAATCCACCAAAGAGCCGGCAACCCCAGAAGCACCGAGAGAGATCTAGGGCAGAACGGGTGGCATGGGGGTGGTTATAAAAAGAAGCTAACAGTGTGTAGGATAACACCTTACTAGCGCTCTGACCTGAGGCCTAACTCTCCGGACAGATGGCTCCACATGCCATCCAAGGGTGCGGCTTCCTGTTGCAGAACACAATTTCCCTTGGACCACGACCTGGCCAAGTTACCTGTCCTAGTTTAGGGCAAACGATGGCCAGCTTTGGGGACTCCCTGACTATACAGTGTCATCCAGAGCAACAGCTGTCCAAAACTCAAGCTGAACCCTCTGCACTGAGAACAGCGACTTTGCCCAGGTGTGCACATGCATGTGCATGTGTGCAGAGGGTCTGCACATGGGGCTGAGGCCTTGCAGGCAGTGTGTGTGTGTGTGTGTGTGTGTGTGTGTGTGTTGTATGTTCTCTATGGCTGAGTATTTCAGTGTGTGTGTTTTGTATGTTCTCTATGTCTGAGTATTTCATTGTGTGTGTGTGTGCATATGTGTGTGTGTGTGTGTGTGTGCGCAGAGGGTCTGCACATGGGGCTGAGGCCTTGCAGGCTGTGTGTGTGTGTGTGGAGTGTGTGTGCGTGTGTGTGGAGTGTGTGTGTGTGTGCGTGTGTGCATGTGTGTGTGTGTGCAGAGGGTCTGCACACTGGGCTGAGGCCTTGCAGGCTGTGTGTGTGCATGTGTGGAGTGTGTGTGCGTGTGTGTGTGGAGTGTGTGTGCGTGTGTGTGTGGAGTGTGTGTGTGTGTGTGTGTGTGTGTGGGCGGGGTCGCCCTGGGCTGAGGCTTGCAGGCTGTGTGTGTGCATGTGTGGAGTGTGTGTGCGTGTGTGTGTGGAGTGTGTGTGTGTGTGTGTGTGTGTGTGTGCAGAGGGTCTGCACACTGGGCTGAGGCCTTGCCAGCTGGCTGCTCTTCCTCTGCAGTTGCTGGGAGGACCTGGAAAGGATAAGCATGCCATGCTGTTCCCCAGCCTGTGGTTGTCTGCAGTCAGCCCCAGCAGGAAAGTGGGCTTTCTGATTAAAATATTAAAATTGTCTTCTAATTAACAGCTCTCAACAACTGAAAGCGAGAATGCAAGTGTACCATTCCAAATGTTATAATCAGGGTTTCACCACTGAGGGTGGGGCAGGGCGGGGCGGGGCGGGGCGGGGCGGGGCTGGAGGCAGAGCAGTGTGGGAGTGAGGCTGGCCACAAGGACAGGACTGAGCGCGACTGTCCCAAGGAGCCACTTTCCTACAGCTTCCTATAGCTACTACCGTAACTGGAGTGACCCACAGATGTCTGTTTCAGTCACCTGGACAAAGAGGTCACTTATACCTGCTCAGGCCTCTTGAGGGGACACTAACACATCTGGGGTTCATAGCTCACTTACAGATTATCTCTCACCCAAACAGCAGCAACCTTTGCTTCAAATTCCATCTCATCTTTTTTTAAAGGCACTGATACCTTTATTTTATTCCTTTAAGTCAAAATGGGAAAGGCAGAGAGAGGGGGAAGGAGAGAGGAAGGGAGGGAGGGAAAGGGAGGGAGGGAGAGGGAGGGAGGGAGGGAGGGAGGGAGGGAGGGAGGGAGGGAGGGAGGGAGGTTGGTTTCACTTGGAAGTCTTGACTGGGGCTGAGAAATGGTTGGGCAATGGTGTACTGGGGTTCAGCTCCCCTGAATACAGGTAAATGTCATGTGGGTGTGGTTTGTAATTCCAGCCTCAGAGGTGGAGAGGGATCCCTAAAGCAAGCTGTCTGGAGAGACAGAGCTTTGGGTTTGACTGAAAGATCCTCCTCCAAAAGAGTAAAGTGATCCCTGACATTATCCTCAGGCCTTTCATGCATTTGCCACACATGCACGGCACCCATGTGCACAGACACACACATGCAGGCACATACACACGCACTCCACACACACACACACACACACCACACACACATACACACACACACACACACACACTCCACACACACACACTCCACACACATACACACACCACACACACACATACTCCACACACACACACATACTACACACACGCATGCACACACACGCATGCACACACACACACACAAAAAAAAGAAACTAAAGAAAAACAATAAAGTTGATTGAAAAGGTTTAATTTGTAAGGTTCATGGTTGGTGATCATCTTAATATCTAAAAGAACAGAGTTTACAGGACTAACACCCTTTCATCTACTCATTTACCAAGTGTGAATGCCACATTGTAAAAGTAGGCTTAGAAGCTGACTCCTAAAGAGATGTGAAGTCACGTGGACTGTGGTGACATGGGCTAGACATGGCCCTGAAAACCTTCTCCCTTCAAATGAAATGGCCTGCTGGGCTGAGGCCTCTAAGAGACAGGAAGTGAAGAGGCCTCAGCGTTGGACTTTGTGTCCTTACCAGACATTCTTTGCCCAATCTCGGGATCTTACTGTTTGAATGCGTCTCACTCCCATCCAAACAAATCGCCCACTGAGCAGACTAGGCGTGAGGGTTCCAGCGCCCACCATGCTCCTCAGCCAAGTCTACCACAGACATTTCCTGGAAGATGTGCGACTGTGAAGGGACTCACCCGAGAAGTCCGGTGGAGCATCTAAGCAACCCCACATTTTATCATGCACAACTGGGCTGGAGCCCAGCAGCCCGTCCCTGGGCCTGGCTATGATGCTGAGCAGCCCAGGAATGAGGGCCGGAGGGAATGCCACAGTACACCAGACACCCCTCCATTCTGGAATTTAGTTGCCCTGCCCGGCATCAGACTGAGATAGAAAGTAGACACCTATGAGCTAGCCTCAGCCACATCCTCCTCATTGAAGAACCGCCATGAGCAGAAATCCTGGGCTCACATATGACACGAGGCAGGGAGATTCTCCAAGCTGCCTGTGACAGAAAGGGTTCCCATGAAGTCACAGTCCCTCTGGAGGAGAGAGAAGGTACCGGAAGGGAGCTAGAACCAAAGGCATGGGCTTGCTCTCCACACCTTTCCCGCATCCTGGGGCAGAAGAGGACACCCTGGTCCTGCTGTCCCTTGGCTCTGCAGGGGACCTACAAACCCTCTGTGGCTCATCAGGGGCAGATCCTTTGTTGTAAGTGTTCTGTGATGGCCATTAAGGCACCAAGAGCTTCCCTCATCAGCCTCTTACAAATGCCACACCATGTATGAAAGAAATTATGTGTGATGTATATCCACATGGGCACATGTGTGTGTGTGTGCACGCGCACACATGTGCACAAAGGCATACATGAAAGACTGAACATTCTAGAAATATTCACCAATTTGTTATCAAAAATTACATAGAATAAGATTTAGGTGATTTTTACTTTCTTCCTCATACCATCTAACACTGTCCTAAAGTGTAAGTATAAAACAAGATTTCATTTTAAACTAATATTTAAGAAGAGAAAGGCAAGCTATATATGTGATTATCAAAACTATCACAGAAAGACTAATTTCTTTAAATTGGAGGGGATGGAAGTCAAAGACAATGGCTTTGAAACAAAGCACAAAACACCATTGCCCTAAACATGGATTACAAGAGAACTGAATCTCAAAGACATAGATTAGCATAGATGAGATGTAGGGATGAGTAGGCAAATTGCGAGGCCGCGCATCCTGCGGTGGCATTTAGAGAGTCAGAGATATTGTGCAAATGCTACTTCTGGGAAAATGTGCAGAAGGCTGTCCTGGAAGCCTCGCTCACTCGTCTGAGGGAAAGACAGGAAGCAATCCAGCATCACTCACTTCATCCTCTTTGCCGCATCTGAGTATGCGTGTTCGATCTCCTGGTCAGCTGGACATGTGTTAGTGAACTCATCCCGGGCATAGGCATTGTTCAAGTACCTCCAAATGCCAGTCATTTCAGAAGGGAACTCAAAACCTCTGTATTTCTTGGCCACAATCTGAAAACCAAGAGGGAATGTTGAGGAAAGGGAAAAGACTCACGTGGGTCAAGTCAGACAATCTGTCACACAGAGAGGCACCGCCTAGCTCCTGACGCCGTCTGGGCTGCCTTTGGTGGCACTATAATGTTACTAGGGCACCTTGGGAACAGGAAAGGTGACAGGGATACAGGACCCAAATGCAATCACTCTGGCAGAATATAGACTCACCTAGGACACAAACCTCTGACCATGTCTGTGAGGGAGTTTCTAGACTGAGTCCCTTGAGGTAGAAAGACCCACCCTAACAGTAGAAGACATGACCCCATGCCCTGGGGGCCTGGGTTGGATTAAGAGGGTGTAGGGAGCTGGGTACCAACACCCTCCACTCTCTGTGTCCTGACTGCTGATGCCTCATCCTCCAAGCCTCCCTGCCTTCCCTGCCGCGATGGCCTTACTGTGAGCCGAAATAAGCCCCCTCCTTTAAGTTTCTTCTCTTGCAATGTGTCAAAACAAACAACAACAATTATAACGACTGATCTAAGATCCCTGCAGTCCTGCCCACCAAGTTACCAGAAATGATCCCTGGGATCCACTGTGCATGTGTACAACATGTTAGTGCTTCCTCCCTGTGCCAGCTCCCGTGTTACATGGCATGTGAAGGCACGTGACAAACCTTCGTCTTAGCCTGCATCAGGATCTTTGAATCAGCTGTGTCTAGTTGCCCAATCTTGTCTCCAGCAATCCCTAACATCTGCGTGGGGTACCTCTGCGGAAGTCCATCTCTCTGCCCTAAGCAGATTGCTCAACCGTGACTCTACCATGTGCAAAGGTCAATTGCATGAACAAAATAGCATGACCTCATCATCGTGGAGACAGCGGGAACAAGAAAATGGCCGAGTGGGGTGGATGCTCTAAGGAGCGCAGCAGTCTGAGACGCCTCCCTGGTCAGGAAGGGGCCAGATGGGGACGTTGCCTCCCAATGATGAGGGATGCAGGACTTTGCTAGTGTCCCACACCTGAAGAACCAAGAGCAAGAAGTCATTCCAGCATGGCATAGTCCCAGAAGCCAGAAATCCACAGTCAAAACATCGTCAGGGTGCATTCTTCCCCGAATGCAGACTTCCGGATGCTCAGGTAACCAGTTCTTATTTCTCTGGTTGACACTCACCTGCTTCACTTCTGACCTTTTTGAAAAGTCTTAACCTAGAGTCTCATCTCACAAGCTTAGCAAGTGCTCCACCCCTGAGCCCAGCTCTCTCTTCACTTTTTACCTGGAGACAGGGTCTTATTAACTCACCCAGGTAGGCCTTGGGCTCACTCTGTAACCCAGGCCTGCAATTACAGGCTTGCACCATCAGGCCTGGATATTTTAATATTAATGAGAATATTTGTTAAATGTCTACCTCTCTCCCATACATGGACTCTTATAATTTCTCTTTCAGTTTATACATGCACAGTGTATACATTTCCATGCACCTGTGTAACTACATATGATGTTTATACCAGAGTATGCACATGCTGTGTGGAGGTCAGATTGACACTGGGTGACCTTCTTCATTGCTAACCAATATTTTAAATTTCATTTTAGATTTACTTTTTTTAATTATATGTACGTGCAGGGTGGGGGCCGTGCGTGTGAGTCCAGGTGCCTGTGATGGCCACAAGAGAGTGCTGTATCCCATGATCCCTCTAGAGTTACGGGCCTAGAGCTATGAGCTGCCTAAGGTGGGTGCTGAACTCAGGTCCTCTAGGAGAGCAGCAAGTGCTCTTAACCTCTGATACATCCCTCCTGTTCCAACTTACTGTATTAAAAACATATTTCTCATGTGTGTGTGTGTGTGCACGTGCGTGTGCAGATGCCCCTAAATGCTGCTGGAGTCACAGGGGGTCGCCAGCTGCGGGGAACTCTTTCTGGAGCACGAGTGTCAACTGCTGAGCCTTCACCCCAACGCCCTGTCCTCTCTTCTTGAGCCTGCAACTTGAAGCCGTGACTTAAGAGTCTGGCCAGTGACCCCATGATTCTCCTGTCCCTGCCTTACCATGCTGGAATCACAAGCACACACCACATGCCTGGCATCGGCCTTGCTTTACCTGCGTTCTAGGAACTCAAACTCGGGTCCTGATGCTTGAGCCATCTCCACACCTTCCTGTCACGCTGAGCCCAGGACCTCCCCCAGCCCCCTGCTTTGGCAGCCATGACAGGCTGCAGAAAAGACCCAGCCAGATGTAAGCCCCTGATTCAGCAGGGTGTGCTGAGCCCCTGACCTTGCCTGACCTTCCCCTAATTACTGGAAATAAACTGCCAGGTACCCTCCATGTGGTAAGGAACCAATCAGAAGTTAGCTGGTGGCTTTGATGTGCTTCACTGATTTTAGTGGAATACAGTAGGTAGCAATGGTGCTGTGATGGCCTCCAGGCACAACAACCTTTCTGCAGCTGCAGCTGACCAATCAACTCAGGACAGGTTCCTCCAGCCCAGAGTTGTACCAATCCTGAGTCTGTTGCTATGGAGCTAGGAGATTCCCCAGACACCAACATATGCCCTGCCCCCTGCTGCTTGGGATCCCTCCTACCTCTACCCGCTATGTCGGATGGACAGAGGACCTGAGTTAAGGCATAATTAAAAAGACTCTTGGCTTTTGCATAGGATCTGGTCTCTTGGTGGTGTTGGGGGTTCAGAGTCTGGGCACAACAAGGCAGTATTTGTTGTATCTGCACATTCACACACACATTCCCTTTTGGTAACCCAAAGGCTGAGGACGCATCCTTTCTGAGAGTCCACTAATGCCATCTGTCAGGTTTGACTCCCGGCGATGCCAAAGGAGGGAATGTTTGCCTCTCCACTTCTTTCCGACTCCTCCTTTACCCCGCCTCCCACCACCTCGTGACTGCGATAACACCCACGTTTACCACATTTTACCGCATCCTGACTCTACTCTGTCTCAGAAGCAGCTGTTTGGTCTCGGTGCTAACATCAGATTGGCTTCCCCACTGAAGAGGCTGCAACTCCGGGAGAAGCAGCTCATGGGAAGGACTTGTCCTCTCCTATCGAATTTCCAGCTGTAGACTCGTTTCATACATTTATTTTATTTTTAGTTAAAATTTAATTACATCACTCCCTCTCCCTAAGACCTTGAGGCAATTGCCCACCAAAGGAACAAGAACAGAGAAACCACACAGGTAAATGGCAGCGTTGTGTCCGTAGGGACTGGGTAGTTAGGTGGCACCGAGCCCAAGTCTCTGTCACTCTTGCTATAAACACCAGACAGCCTTCCCTGTCCTCTCTAGAGGTAATGCCACTGATTTCTGATTTGATGTCACGAGATACTTGAGGCCGCTATGAACCCACCCGCATCCCCACCCCCACGGCTGGGTCTGCTGTCTGTCTGTGCCATCACCACCGCTGTTACTGAGCATTGTTGACTGTTTGCTGTGGTTTGAGTGCTGGAAGCTCGGGTCTCAGTGGGACAGTGTGTGATGGGACCTTCAAGAATCAGGGCTTTTAGAGGAGGACATTGTTGGGACAATGCACTCAGGAGGGACTGAAGTAGTTCTCATGGCTCTCAGGTTAATTCTGTGGGGGAGGCCTGCTATGCAAGAGCAAATCGGGCTGCTTCCTGTCTCACCACATGGTCACTTCCTGTCTCACCATATGCTCACTTCCTGTCTTAGCTGTGGTCTCTCTCTGTCTCACCACATGGTCACTTCGTGTCTTAGCTGGGTCTCCTCCACACCCACACTTACACTGGGATGCCATGAAGTCCCCACCAGAGTTGACTCATGCTCTGGAACTTCTACAGCTGAGATAAATAAGCTTTCCTGCATATCCCTGCCCCAGACGTCCTGTTATAACAATGCAAAGGACACAAGTGCAGTTCTTAAAGGCTCCCCACCCCGCCCCGCCCCGCCCCGCCCCGCCCCACCCTGCCCCGCCCCCGCCCCCGCCCTGCCCCTGCCCCGCCCCGCCCCGCCCCGCCCCCCCCACTACAGAATCTCAGTGGCGTCTCACTGTGCTGTTCTGGGAATGTTTCCTAAACATGGCGTGGCCTTGGAAGCGGAGCTTTGGGGCTAAGGATGCATGAGCCCTTGCCTGGGCTTGATACTCAGCAGACGATAATTACAGTACTGATATAAAAATAAGACAGTCGTGTATGATGGAGCATGCACGTGGCTCCAAGATTCGTGTAGAGGCTGGAGAACTACATAGGGAGACCCTGCCTCAAAATACCAAGGGCTGGAGATGTGGCTGGGTGGTAGAGCAGTTGCCTACATAAGCAAGGCCCCCGGCTTTATCCTCTGCACGAATAGTCAGTCCGTCCAGGCTAGTCTTTAGATAAAGCAGAGTCTGGCCCTCCTTAATTAAAGTCATGCTCTGCTTGGACCTCCTCTCCCTCCCTCTCCTCTCCCTCCCTCTCCTCTCCCTCCTCTCCCTCCCTCTTCTCCCTCCCTCTTCTCCCTCCTCTCCCTCTCCTCACCCTGCTCTCTGTCCTCCCTCACCTTCCTTCCCCCCCCTTCTCCCGTTGCGAACTTAAACGTCTAGGACCTGTCCATTTGATCTTAGGTGATGCGGCCTCATCATGTTTCTCCACTTTGATCATCTCTAGCTATACGGTAGCCCCGTGTCAATTCATTCTCGTTGCTAGCCATGGTTTAGCAAGCAGACGTGTTGGAGCTACCATTTGCTTAGAAATTATGTGGGGGCAATAAGAGGGCGGGCCAGAGCCATTGGAGAGCAAACTCAGTACTCACAACCAAGCATCAACTGGGAACCACTGACTTCTACTCTGCCCCAGGGACACGTTAGAGCTGGAGTTAGAGGTCAGCATCAGAGTATTAAGCAGTTAGCGCCAGAATAAAGGAGCTCTTTCTCCCACAGCTCAGCAGCCACAAAACGGAACGCCAGATCCCTTCTCTTCTGCTATCCCATCTCCTTCCGGGGTGTCCCAGAGGGTGAGCGCCTGGGTACAGGCTGTAAGGACCTCACCTCTGCACAACCCTCCTTCAACTCCCTCTCTTTAGAGACTTAGCCCAAAAGTGTGTTCTATAATCTTTCCCCCACTGCCGGTGCACACCCCGCCCTCCAGGCAAAGATCTCAGCATTTCAGAGCCCAATTATCTCCTCCTGAAGAACTCTGGCCTGGCGGCGATGGCACACGCCTTTAATCCCAGCACTAGGGAAGCACAGGCAGGAGGTCCGAGGCCAGCCTGGTCTACAGAGTGAGTTCTAGGACAGGACTGCACAGAGAAACCCTGCCTCAAAAAAAAAAAAAAAAAAAAAAAAAAAAAAAAAAAAAAAGACTCAAATTGAAGATCAAGGAAACTTTCTTAGGGTGTAAAAGAAAAAAAAAAAAAAAAAAAAAAATATATATATATATATATATATATATATATATATATATATATATATATAACCACACTCAGCCCTGTCTCTTAAATTTCTTTTCATTTGTGGGTGACCTGTCATTCTTTTATAGGCTTGTGAATGATGAACCCAATACTCTATTTTTAATATCATTTTCAGTGGGTTTCAGGAAGGAAAATAAATTATAAATCTCTCCACTCTTGTGTTTTACCATAATTCCCTTGGACTGGCTCTCATCTCCTTCAGAAGTGCTCTCTGCTCTGGGAGGTCATTAAATAGCTTAGCATTATAAGTGCTAAATGGCTTGAGGATTTTGTTTCTATGTCTTATATTAACACCATGGACTACTCTAGGCGCCCGACCCCCACTCCCATCCCTGAAGCTTACCCTTCCCTCTTTTACATCTATGTGAGCGTGTTCATCTGAATGCGAGTACTCATACAGGCCAGATGAAGGTGAGGGAACCCCTGGAGCTGGAGTTACAGGTGGTTGTTGGCTGCCTAACATGGGTGCTGGGAACCAAACTCAGGCCCTCTGCAAGAGCAGCAAGTGCTTTTAACCACAGAGCCATCTCTCCAGCCCCCTCTTTTTTATATGGATAAGTCACATTGTGATTAATGTTGTGTGGCTGTGATATTTCTCATGTTCTTTATTGTGGTTTGGACATTCAACACTTTTACAATGAAGGTTTGGTCCCCGACTGGTGAGGATAGCTTCACCAATTGGTTAATTCCAGCGGGTTAGGTAATAGGAAGTGGAGCCTAGGTCACCGGGAGCCCGGGAAGGGTCTTGTCTCCAGTCCTCACTCTCCTGCTCTCTGGCTTCCACAGAGTGAGCTGCTTGCCCATGCCATATTTTTTTTTACCATAGGCCTAACATCAACAGAGCCAGCTGAGCGTGAGTATAAACCTCTGAAGCCATGGGCCAAAATAAGCCTTTCTCCACTACACTGATTTTTCTCAAGCATTTTGTCAGATCAACTACAATCCCTTCTGCATCCTGTACCTACCTGTGTGATGCTGGATCATTCACAGCAAAGACTAAAATTCCATCCCCAAAAGGGACTAAGTCAAAGCACCCTGGTGTATGGACCTCATTGGAAAGCGGCTTCTAGATTTAGGTGTTGGAGAGTTGAGAAGCCTTGGTTAGACTTTGGATGTTGGGACCTGAACAAGGCTATTAATAAAGACACTTGTTGAAAGCCTCGCTAATGTCTGCCTTAAGTAGATCTCCCTGAAGCATAACACAGAAGAGAGAAGGAAAAAGCTAAAGGCTGAAGAGGAGGAGGGAGCAGGAAGAAGATGTTCAGGAAGAGAAAGGCGTGGACTCTGGGGACCAGATGGGTGACTTCACCAGCCAATTAAACATGCAAACTTAGAACATGGCATTGACTTGTGTTTCCCTGAGTTTCCCTCTTACCCTTATGGTCCTACACCAGCTCTAGACCTAGAGAGACGTTAATAAAAATCAAGATGCCTCGGGGCCAGACACGGGCTTCTCCTTTGGACATCTGAGGGTCACACACATAGCGGTAGTGACTGTGATAACAGCAACATCGCCTGTTAAGTGGCAGCCACAGGGAGAGAGTGAAGTACCTCGGAAGTCCAAGTGTGGGGCGGGCCAGCTGCCTGGGAATCCCTAGGGTTGCCACTACAGGCTCTGACTTGCTAGGTCAGATGACCAATAAGAACTGAAATAAAGCATGAAAATGTAAAAAGTAAAAAAAACCAAAAACACACCCTCAAATAATCCCAGTTGTATACGACCATTGGGGGTTCTACCACATTCAACTACCTAGGAAGGCAGGGCACCAGCTACAGAAGAGGCCAAGCCAGGTGACTATATCAGCTGCTCTTAGCTGAGAGATGAAGGCTGATATTAATAATTGGCAGGGCACCCCTCCATTGTCCCCAGAACAATGTTTATCCCTGAGATTTTCAACAATGCGTCATCTCCAAGCCACATAAAGCCAAGGAGACCCTGAGAATATCAGTGAGGACACCAGGCAGGGCCACATTCACACATATTTCACGAAAACACCTGCAGCCCATGGTTCCACGTATCTAAACACCGCAGCTCGGCCGCTAGTTTTCATATCAAGTCTGTGTTGCAGGCCTGTTTCGATGTCTGGCCCAAGCACAAGTCAGAACAAAGGACCACAAAGCCTCCTTCATGCACCCATCGAAGGATGCAAAGTCGGGAGCAAAGACATACCTTAATGATGTGGAGCTTGGGTAAGAGGTTACAGTCGGCCAGCGTGAGCTCATCGCCATCCAGGAACTTCCTTCGGGAAACAGTGACATCTTCTGTGCTGTAGGCATCGATTTCATCTGGCAGTGGGCTGTTTAAGTAACTGTCTAGCTTCCTCAGGGCCCGGAGCAGGTTCTTTTCATAAGCTAAAACGCAAGGGCAGTAGATGCTTAAGACATGACAGGCCTGTGAATGGCTGCCTGAGACAGGTGTGGCTGCCATTTTTTTTTTCCTTCCTTGGAAAGAGAGATCTGGATGCACTTTCTTTCTGAGGCAGGGCTGGTCAGCAAGACCAGAAAGACCTGGAGGCCAGAAGAGGTCTTCAGGTGCCCTGGATCTGGGGTTATGAATGGTTATGTGCCATCTAGTGTGGGGGCTGGGAACCAAACTCCAGTCCTCCACAAGAGCAGCTTGTGCTCTTAACTGCCAAGCCATCCCTCCAGCCCAAACTCAGCCACACTTCTAAGCATTTATGAGGAAGCCTATGACAAGGCGGAGAGTGGCAGAGGCACCGTTTAAACAATTTTTGCACTGCAGGGAACGGTTGCGTGTTAAAAATGTTTCCCCATAAGAGTGCTGCATCCTAGAGTTCCCAAACTCTAGAAACAGTCTCACCAAAGTCATGCGCAGAGTTAAACATGGGTGCAGTTTCCTTATTTCAAGACTTCCATTTGTACCCTCGTGGAAAGCGCCAGCAGCCACGTGGAAGACGGTGTGGGAACAGAGCCCAGAACAGGAATACTTACTCTCGTTTGCATCCTTCTTGGTGTTTTTAATAAATGCAGAGAATTTGGCAAAAACATCATTTCCTGCTGAGTTGGATTCAGGGTGTCGTGTTCCCAGCTTAGGGTACCTTGAAGAGTTCAAAATCGGAGGGTCACAAAAAAAAAAAAAGCAAAGGCTGGTTAGGATAATGCAATGGAGGAAAATATATTCCTCTGGGCAGATATTAAAATGACAAGATCTCCCACACTGGTTTAGTGAACTATGAATCTCAAAGGTGAGTGAAAAACATGATTTAGGGGGAGCTGTGTTGTATCAGGCTCTGGTGAGACCAATCCTAGGACACGGGGTCAGCCAGATGTCCCTGACCTAATTCCTTCTCTGGTCTAGTAAAGGTGTTTGACTTCCTGGAGGGTCCACACTCTTCTAGAAGCAGACATGAGAAAGGGTTATCCCACCTCCCCCTACCTTCGGCCATACTGCCCTGACTGCCAAGCTGTGGAAACAAAGAGGTTGGTTTTAAGCGTCAGCTCGGTTGCTGATTGATACAAGAAGATCCCGTCCAGTGTGGGAGGCTCTGCTTCCTAGAAAGGGGGTAGGGGAGGGACCACAGGAGCAGGTGTCAACACGCATTTCTCTCTGCTCCCGGTTGTGAACGTCATGCGGCTGGCTGACTCCCTACCCTGCAATCGTGGACTACAACTTGGAACTGTGAGAAAATAGACCTTGCCCTCCCTTCAGCTGCCTTTAGTTAGGGCGTTTCCATCGCAGCGCGGCAGGAAGGAAACCAGACCAGAAGCAGAGCCCATCTTAACTCAAGGTGTCTAAGCTGGCTGCTTCCTCTGCCATCCTGCACATGACCAAGGAGGAAAGCACCCACAGAGCTGTATCAGTTCTAGGAGGCCTACCGTGGGGGAACTAACTTCTCCTCTAAGAACTCCTCAATCTTATTCACGTCCGTCTTGACTTCACCATCAAACGTCATGAAAGGAGGGTTCGTCCCAGGAGCCAGGTTCTGAAGGTCCGCAGGCTTCCTAGACAGGAGGGAAGAGCAGTCTGCGTGGATGGTCTCGGCATTTGGAGTCATGGCCGAGGCTTAGTCAGAAGTGCCCTCACCATTTGAGAGATACAGCCCTTGAGAATTTGAAAGTGTTCCGTGACTTAATAAGATGGCTTGCAGGAGATCAAAGCCAAGGAATACACTAACAGATGATGGTTGAATTCATCCCTCTGCAACCCCTTTCTGGCTGCAGAGATGGGAAAGTTAACTCTTCAGTGTTACCAGCCAGCAGCAGCGTTGGGGGTGGAGGGCGCACAGCCGCTGGATTGCAGGGAAAGCAGGCTAGCCCTGGCCCCCAAACGTTACTTCCTGCAGCCCCTGAGTTCTATACAAACCTCACTACTTGGCCAGCACTCGGTCTTCGTTTCAGGCTAAAGGACAGACATGCCATTACATGCCCATGGTCCCTGGCAGCATACATGTGCATGCTTGTGTATGTGTGTATGCATGCCTGTATACATGAAAGAGTATGTGCCGTGTGCAGGGAATTAGGTCCAATTATGTCAGTGACACAGAAGCCTTATCTCACCTTTTCAGGTCTACTGTGGTCACATTGAAGATGACACCCTTCAGCCAGAGGATCATAAAGAGGCGCTGAGAAAATGGGCAGTTTCCAATGCTCTCGCCATCATAGCCAGCCTGGGTAGGAAAAAAGAAAGAGGTCTTTATGTGACCTATTCTCACAGTGATAGATGTCAGCAGCCACAGCGCAAGCGCACAAATTATGAATGTTTATGAATAGTCATGTTACTGTACATAGCCTTCTAGGGCCGTTTAACACAGGGTCTACACAGGTTAGAAATGGGTTGATGGGGCATGTGTACACTCTCTCTCGCTCTCACACACACACACAAACTCTCACACACACATGCACATATACACACATATGCACACACTCTCTCTTGCTCTCATACACACAAACTTTCTCTCTCTTACACACACATACGCACACACACATACACACATTCTCTCTCTCTCTCACACACACACACACACAAAATGGAAAAACGGGGGTTGGGGCTGGAGAGGCGTCTTAGTGGTTAAGAGCACTGACTGGCCTTGCAGAGGACCTGGGTTCAGTTCCCAGCACCACACACGGCAGCTCACAGCCACCTGTAACTCCAGTTCCAGGCGATCAGACTCCCTCTACCGGCCCTCACGGGCATTGCATGCACATAGTCCATATACACTCAGACAAGTATGCACATAAAATAAATCTTATTTTTGAAAAAATGTATTTTTAAAAATCTGATACCTAGTAGATGCTAGCAAAGCTATGGAGGTTTTTCCCTGGAAAGTATCACGCTATCTCTGGGGGGGGTGATTTTCCTGAGACTGAGATATTATTTAAAAAGACAAAAAAAAGAGCGAGTAATGCCAAGGCCTACCGGGTTCTTGTGTCTGGTTGTTATTTATCTGGTTGTTCCGAGACAGACCCTCACATCACTCAGGCTGGACTCAGACTCATCCATAGCTGAAGATGACCTTGAACCTTGGTCTTGCCACCTGACGCTCCCCAGGGCTGGGATTGTAGGCATGCACCACTACGCCCACCCTTTACTTCCTATCTTACTATGTAATCACTTCTGCCTCCGTGGTGCTATCCACTGTCAGACTGTCACCATAGCTGGGCGAAGCCAGCGTCATACACGAGGGTCTCTGGCAGTGAGTTAACCTTTATTCTCTCTCCAACCTCGGGTATTTTGTGACAGCAACAGAAAACAGACTAATGCAGAATCCATGACCATGCAATTACTCTTTAATGGCAAAAACACAGCCACATCCCACCCATGAGCTCTATTTCTGCCAGTGTAGTCATAAGAAAATTGAGGGTATAAGGCACAGGGCAGAAAGTCAGCTACCTGTTTATATGGAGAATAAAAGAAAGGGAAAATGGCTCAAAACAAAAACAAAACCAAAGTAAAGAGTACTCTGGAGGTGAGTCACCTGAGGGGTTATGGATAATAAATTAGTGAGCAAAAAACCCATGAATGGATATCCCTACTAGTTAAGAGGAGAAATAATAACCGCTTGGTTTCTTAAAGTACTAGCTGTGCAAGCTGGGTGCACAGAAGAGTAGCCTGCTGACCTGGAGTCCCCTAAGCCCTGTGTCTGGGTTCTATGTCCCCCAAGCCCAGGCTTCCCTTCCCGCTGCCGGCATGGATTATCTGCCTATCAGAAGCGAAGCATCTGGGGTCCCCCCAGGTGATGGCCCAGTGGCTGGCAAGTGCAACGTTGTGACTCAGACCCCCCAGTATTCTTCACAATGCTGTGGCATGCGACTCTGAAACACTGCCCTACTCGCCCACCTGAGGATGCGCCTGCAGGGACCCCATCGCCCTGCTGCCCTGGTCTCCTGCTGTCTGGCCTGCAGCACAGGCAGGCGAGCTGTGTAGAATCCCCAACCCCTGGGGTCCTACTTTCTCTCGCCTGCTGCAGGTTTGGGCACAGTCAGACTCAGTGAAGGAGGGTAAGGGAGAGGAGGGCGAAGGGGTGTGCATTCTGGCCAGCCCTGACTTGCTCACCGGCTGGCTTTTCAGCCTCTTGTTTTTATAATAGCTCTGCTGAGCACAGTAATGTTTACAAGGTGATGGTTCCCCTTGCCCTTGGACCTGGTCATAGCTCACTGTGAACGGCGCCAAGCCCTGCTGAGTCCTCCTGTTATATAGCATGTCTGAAGGCCACAGCACACAGAGAAGGACTGGACGTAGGCGGACCTGTGCTCCCAAACTCACGCCCACGCCCTCCTTCAAAATTGTCCTCACCACTCAACAAAGGCTGGAAATAAGGCTCCAGGAGCAGGGCATTTCTAAAACATGTAAGAATTGCTCTTGTCATTCAACTCCGTTGGGTTCCGTTCAGCTGCCAGAGGCTTGATAGGCATGCACGAGGACCTGAGTTTGATCCCCAGAACCCATGGAAAAGGAAGCCAGAGCTGCCCATGCTTGTCATCTCACTTCATGGAGATGGAGACACAGATCCCCGGGGCTCAAGGCAAGCTCAGGGACAACGAGAGCTCCTGCTGGGAAAAAATAAGGTGGAGAAGAGCCAACACAGACACCAACACCAACCTTTGGCTTCCATGGGCACTCACACGTGTACATGCTTGCACATGCATGTACACAGACACACATACACACAGTTAAAACCCCTCAAGCTTAGCAGGCTTCGTAACAGATTTGCAGCTGACAAGAATGGCCCTGATAGCCACAAAACAATGAAGACATGTGTAACTACCCATGATTCCCCCATGTGGCCTTGACACAGAATTACCCCAAGCAAGAGCAGCCCATAAACTGAGGGCTGCTAGGCATCTTAGCGAGCTGCCCCAACTGCCAATAAAACAGGATTTACATATCCAGCATTGCCTCATCTTAAATTGCTCTAAAACTTTCTTTCTAGCTCAGTCTGCTGTAAATAAGGGGGTTACGGGAACAGGGTGGGAGGGACAGGGACGCCTTGCTTAATTTTATTACTTTAATGCGCTTCAGTGCTAGGATGTGCCAGCAAAAATAAAGGCGGAGATACGCCATCTCCATGGTCCATTATTGAGCAATAATGAGAGTAGGTCGCCTCGCCTGTATCATTAACCCGCCAAGATGATGGGATAAATACATATATATTTGGAGTGAATAACTGACACTGTCCCCATAATTGGGAGGCTCTATCATACGGGGTTTTATTTCCCAGTGTTGGTAATTCTCTCCGGCTAATTGCACTCTGGGCTGAGATTTCTCAGCAGGGTTCTCCGCCTGCAGGGGAAGTTTTTGTAGGTCCACGTTTCTGATTAAATCAAATTAAGTAGCTTGAGAAATTGGAGTGGGTTTTTTTTTTTTTTTTTCATTTTCATTTTCAGTAAAGCTTCAGACACTGAAATGCTGCATTTTGAGGGACATCTTAGATGGCCGGTCTCAGAGCGCAGCAGGCAGTCTTATAGCCTATCCGCAGAAGTTTCCTTTGCAAATGGCATCTGCCCTGGACCATGGGGATGCAGAAACACTGCTGGTCCCTGGCCTTCAACTAATCAGGGGACCCCAGGGTATGGGCAGGAAGCGTCTAGCCAGCAATGCAGTAGTGAACAGGTCCTCTGTGCCCCCCAGGACCTCCAAACACCACAGCTTCCCCCACTAATGGCCACCTTCTTACCCTGGATCTGTGCAAGGAATTGTTTGTTACCTGCCAGTTTCTCTCCTTTGACCGAATGACCTTTCTGATGCCCTAGAACAGTGGCTCTCAGCCTCCCTGATGCTGCGACCCTTTAACACGGTTCCTCGTACTGTGGTGACCCCACACACACACACACACACACACACACACACACACACACACACACACTATAAAAAAGTTCTGTTGCTACTTCCTAATTGTAATGTTGCCACTGATACGAATCATAACATGCACATCCGAAGTGTGACCCCACAGGTTGAGAGCCACATCGCCACCGTCCACCGTGGTGAGTGAAGCTACCGCTTTCAGGAGACCTGGTAGACATCTCAACGCTGGTCTCACGGGTGACAAACCTCAAGCATTCACGGTGGCTCCCTGACACCCCAACCTTCATTCTTTCCCATACATATACCTACCAGCTTACTTTCTCAACTTCTTGGTTCTACCTTCTTTCTAGAAATTTCTGTGTGAGTCTAAATTGCAAACATATTCTGTAATATAAACACATTTTTTTCCCCCTGCTCTTAGCAAATACAGTGAAAAACAATGTCGGGTGTTGCGTTGAGATGAGAAAGCGATGAGTTTGATGTCCCCAATTCTCCGATGCCCAGATGCCAAATGAGGAGAGAGGACCCCTGCACACGTGTCCTGGGCAGAGGAGTCTCCTGGTGCTCCCAGGGGTTAAGGGAACCAGAGTGGGTTGGAGGGATCAGAGAGTAAATATGGATGATTTGCAAGGCACTGAAGAGAGATAAGAAATGGTGGCCGCTGGCCATTCTTCCCATTGTACAAGGGGAGGCACAGATCAGAAGGAAGGTTGATATGGATGATCAGAGTCCCTCAGAGGGGAGGGGAGTAGAAAAGTCTTGGTGGCTTTTCTGCTGCTGTCATGGAATCCCAGAGGCCGGGTAATGAACAAAGGTGACACCTTCATTTCTCATAGCCCTGGAGGCTGAGAAGTCTAGCGCTGAAGGCCTCCTGGCTACGTGAGAGCATGGCAGATAACATCACTCCTGAGGTCAAGAGAGATGAGCACATGGGCAAGAACCACCCCGGACTCCATCGTGTGTCTGCTCCGTGGAACATTAAAAGCAAGCAGATGGCCCCATTCCTGGGTGGGGCCGTTTCAGGATACGTGGGGACTGTCCCCCTGGGCCCTTGAGGGAGGGCTGAGGTCCCAGTGAGCCAGGGACCCCATCTGTTCCTGTGCAGTCATTCTCACAGGCACTAGCAGTTGCCAGCAAAGAGGAATCTCAGGCAGTGACTGGGACAATACTTGCAGAGACTTTATTGGACCAGTGCACCCCGTGGGAGCGCCCCGTGGGAGCACTCTGTGGGAGCACCCCGTGGGAGCACTCGTGGGAGGACCCCGTGGGAGCACCCCGTGGGAGCACTCATGGGAGCACCCCGTGGGAGCACTCTGTGGGAGCACTCATGGGAGCACTCCGTGGGAGCACTCTGTGGGAGCGCCC